TAACCTGCTGAACCACACCAGTCTCAGATACTTTTTCTGCATCTTGTTTAGCTTATTGATTATGATTGTAAGGCAAACTGGAGCAGAACAGAGAGGAGACAGGATATGGAACTTACAGTCAAATCAGATTTATTCAAGGGAAGATAAATTTGCAGAGGCATGCACAGAGACTGAACGTCAAAGTCTTCCAATAGGCCAGGTCTTACATAGCTTAGAGTGGGACCAAGGGTCCTGAGGTGAGGGCAGTGCACAGAGGTGAGCTGCTGCTTACACGGTTTCCCCCAGGCTTTCAAACCCAGAAGAGAATGCAGTGTTTGTTTGAGCTGGTCTCTTGAAAGGCGGCAGGGGTAAAGTGAATTTTATCTGCTTTTAGGCCAGGACCTAAAATGGCTGAGGTTTATATCCTTGTTCCATCACTTTGTATTTCCTGGAAGTGATTGTGTAAAATGTTTCTTATTCTCTGAAATATTTGATAGGTTTCTTCAGTGAAACAAACTGAATCTAGAAATTATTATCCCCAGAATTTTTATATTATAGAATCAATTCCCTTTAAAGTTGTAGAGTGATTTATATTATCTGTTTCAAATTGTATGGGTTGTGGTAATTTGTTTTTTAGAGTTCATTTCATCTAATTGTCAAATTTTTGTTTAGACTTGTTCATAGCATTCCCTTATTATTATCCATTTGATATCTACAGACCAAGGCAATATCACCTTTTCCATTTCTGTTATTGGTGATTTGTATCTTCTTTTTTTCAGACTTGGTAGTAGTTTGCAAATTTTACTGAACTTTTCAAAGAAGGATCTCTTTCATTGCTTTTCTATTTTAAATTCTTTTCTCAATTTAAATAATTACTGCTGCTCTTTATTATTTATTTCTGTTTGCATTGCATTTATTTTACTTTTTTCTAGGTCCTCAAAGTGGGAGATTAGTTTACATATTTGAGATTTTTCTCCCCTTTTAAAATATAGGGTTTAAAATTTCCCTCAGAATTGCTTTAGCTTTGTTCCACAAAGTTGATAGTTTAAATTTTTATCTCAGTTTACTGTATTTTCTTAATTTCCGTGTGAGTTCTTTGCAGTACAGGATTATGTAGAATTGTATTGCTTAGTTTTGATGTGTTTGGAGATTCTTCTGCTTTCTTTATTAATTTCTGGCATATTTTCATTGTGGTCAGCAACATTCTCTGTGATTTCATTTCTTTATTGAGTATTTTCAGGGACGGCATATGTTCTGTGGCCCCTTGGAAAGAATGTGTGTTCTGCTGTTGTTGGGCAGAGTGTTCTTTAAATGTTGATTAGATCCTGTTGGTTGTTGGTGTTTCCTATGTTTTTGATGATTTTCTACCTAGTTCTGTCAATTATTGAGAGAGGGTTATTAAAAATCTCCAATTATAATTATGGTTTTGTGTGTTTTTCTCTTTTTTCTATAATTTTTTGCTGTTTACAGTGCAGCTCTGTTGTAGTTGCACACACATTTAACATTGCTATATTTTCTTGGCAGATTGGGCATTTTATCATTGTATAATGTTCCCTCTGTCTTTGGTTAATTTTCTTTGCTCTGACATGTACTTTTTCTGATTTTAAATAATCATTCATACTTTTCTTTGATTGCTTACACAGTTTATGTTTTTTCATCCTTTCACATTCAAACTGTCTATATCATTACATTTTAAGTAAGTTAGGTGATCAACTGTGCTAATCTCTGTCTTTTAATTGGTGTATTTAGACCATTTACAATTAATGAAACTTTTAGTTTTAACTGACATAATTGTACATATTTTTGGGGTACAATGTGTTGTTTTCTTTAAATGTATATGGTATAATGATCAAATCAGGATAGTTAAATTATCTATCATCTCAAACATTTATCATTTCTTTGTGATGGGAAGAATGAAAATCCTTTCTTACACCTGTTTTGAGACATAGAATACTATATATACTATAGAATACTATTAACTGTAGTTTCCCCACTGTGCCACAGAACACCAAGCTTATTCTTCCTATCTGATTATAAATTTGTACACGTTGACTGACCTCTTCTTAAGTCCCTCTCAGTATTATCATTAATACATTAATACTTGAGACTTTGTTTTGTTTCTGTTTGTTTTTGTAACTTCCTGTGGGATACTTGAGCACTTCAAATTCCATTTGGAATTGTGTTTTAAAGATTTATTTATTTATTGAAGATTTGTTTACTTATTTGAAAGGCGGAGTTAGAGAGGGAGGGATAGAGAGATCTTCCATCTGCTGGTTCACTCCCTAAATGGTCTCAGCCAAGGCTGGGCCTAGCCAAAGCCAGGAGCCAGACACTTCTTTCAGGTCTCCCACACAGGTACAGGGCCCCAAGCATTTGGGTCGTCCTCCACTGCTTTCCCAGGCACATTAGTTGGGAGCTGGATAGGAAGTGGAGCAGCTGGGACATGAGCTGGTGCCCATAAGAATGCTATTGTTGAAGATAGCAGCTTCACCTGATACACCATAATGCTGGCTTCTCTCTCTCTCTCTCTCTCTCTCTCTCTCTCTCTCTCAGAGAGAGAAAGAATGAGACAGAGAGAAAGAGATCTTTTATCTGTTGGCCCAGTTTCCACATCACTGGGGCTTGGTCAGGCTAAAGCCAGGAACCAGGAACTCAATCCAGGGCTCCTACGTGGCAGGCAGGAACCCCAAAGACTTGGGCCATCATCCATTGCCTTCCCAGGTACATTAGCAGAAAATTAGATTGGAGTAGCGGGAGTAGCAGGAACTTGAACCAGCACTGCAATATGGGATGCCACTGTTGGAAGCAGCAGTTTAACTTGCTGCACCACAGTGCCTGCCCCCTTGTATATATGTTTGAGTATCTCTCTTTGTATGGCTCTTCTAGTGGTAGCTATTTATATGGACAGTGCCCTAGGTACATATATCAGAATATACTGATGTTATTTTAACATTTTAATGTAACATAGAAACCAATTTACTACCCTTTACCCTTCCTCATTTATAGTAAATTTGCTTCACATATTTGCGCTGGCATTGTAATTTCTGTTTCAACTGCCAAACATAATTTAGGAAACTGAGGAGAAGGATAAGAGCCTATTGTATTTGCTCATAATTTTGCTTCCTGTTTATTCTTCCTAATGTTCCAAGGTTGCTCCTCTTATTGTTTCCTTTTGTTTAAACAACTTCTGTTAGTTATTCTGTTGAGAGATCTGTGGATCACAAAGTATGTTAGTTTTCTTTTCTCGTTTATGTGACTTTCTCATTCTTGATTCCTTAAGGATATTTTTACTGGGTATATAATTCTTGCCTGGTGATTTTTTTTTTTTTTTTATTTCAGCGCTTGGAAAATACTGTTTTACCTCTTTGTGTCTCCATAATTCCTGATGACAAATTCACTATCATTTGTTTTGTTTTTCCCCTTTTTAGGTAAGGTGTCGCTTGTCTTTTGACTGCTTTCAAGACTTTTTTTGGGGCCAGTACCGTGGCTCACTAGGTTAATCCTCCACCTGCGTACGGTACCGGCATCCCATATGGGCACCGGTTCTAGTCCCGGCTGGTCCTCTTCCAGTCCAGCTCTCTGCTGTGGCCCAGGAAGGCAGTGGAGGATGGCCCAAGTGCTTGGTCCTCTGCACCCGCATGGGAGACCGGGAGGAAGCACCTGGCTCCTGGCTTCGGACTGGCATAGCTCTGGCCATGGCGGCCATTTGGGGAGTGAGCCAACCTTTCTCTCTGTTTCTCTCTCTCACTGTCTAGCTCTATCTGTCTGAGCTGAAATGAACAAGAAACAAAAAAAGAAGTAGAATATTAGCATATTAGGACATTTGAAAAAAAAGACTTTTTTCTTTGACTTCAGTTTTTATAAATTTATCTTGTGTCTTTGGGTGAAGTTCTTTGGGCTGATTCTGTTTGGGGTTTATATGGTCTTTGAATCTGCAAGTTCATGTCTCATGGTACTTTATGGAAGTTTTTAGCCTTGAAGGAAATTTTTTAACCTCCTACTATTTCCTTCCTGAAGCTTTACTTCTCTCTCTCTCTCTCTCTCTCTCTTTTGTGGTTGCTGCTTGTTTGCTGTAGAAATTGAGTAATTTGTATTGTGTCTCCCAATTCAATGAATTTTTCTTAGTCTACTTTATTATACTGTTAATCTAAGCTACTAATTCTTAAAATTTCTATTACTGTATTTTGTCAGTTCTAAAATTTTTATTTTGGCTATTTTATTTTATTTGAGTTAGACAGTGAGAGAGAGAGACAGAGAGAAAGGTCTTTCTTCCGTTGGTTCACCCTCCAAATGGCTGCTACGGCCACGTGCTGTGCCGATCCAAAGCCAGGAGCCAGGTGCTTCCTCCTGGTCTCCCATGCAGGTGCAGGGCCCAAGCACTTGGGCCATCCTCCACTGCCTTCCTGGGCCACAGCAGAGAGCTGGACTGGAAGAAGAGCAACCAGGACTAGAACCTGGCGCCCATATGGGATGCTGGTGCTGCAGGCGGAGGATTAACCAAGTGAGCTACCTTGCCAGCCCTATTTTGTCTATTTTTATTTCCTTTCTCTTTACTGAAACTTTTGTTGTTGTTGATGCTCTACCATTATAGTGTGATTATGCTGTACACAGCAAGTGCTCCATGTGTACTTCAAAAACAACTCCCTCTCAAACTAATCTCTGTGGCAAGAGCAGCTATTTACCCAGTCTCTAGATCTCAGAAAAAAAAACCAACCAACCAAACAAACAAAAAAACTCTAGGAAAAAAATGATGATTATAGGTGCAGCTTCTGTTAAACCTTGGTAATCCTGTAGATACATATATCCTCATGGCACAGATGTATTTCCTACAAACCTGGAATTTGAGACCCCATGAACAAATCACCACAGCTAAAAAGTAGTAATGCTAGTGTTAAGTCTTTCAATTTCTTGTTAAATATAAAAATCCCAATCATGATTTAATATTATTTTAAACAAAAAAATCATAATAAAAAGCAAATCATTCAGTGGTAATTTTAGAAGACTCTTCTATACTAGAGTACCTTCCCTGTGGAGATTCTGATGTGATCTTCTCTATCCTAATCTTCTTGTAAATATGTAGTCCAGGGAACACAGTAAGTATTCAATAAATATTCTCTAAATGAATAAATGAATGGAGCTCTAAAAGCTGCAAATTAGAAGGGAAAGAAAGGAGAGGCACCAGTATAGAATAGTCATTTGTAAAACAGGATATTTGTAATTTATATAACACTTACATTCTGCTTTCAGTTTACCTGATAAACAAACATCTTTAGTTTATAATTTTTTTGAAGACTTAGTAAAGAACCTTAAAGTAAAAAGAAAAAAAAGAATAACAGTTGTGATTGCATGTACCATTCATGGGACACTGTCAGAGTTTTGTGGTGACCGAAGAGCCACCACATTAATTATTATCAAATGAGACAAGATGGCAGGAGTCTCTACCATCCAGTTTGTTTAGTGTTGCGTGACTTAACTTCAAAGATGTACTGTTTACTTGAAGTTATGTACCATGGAATTAAAAAAAAATATTCCATGTACTTTTATCTGTACCTCCCAAATTATTATATTTAGTATACAGAAATATTATTCAAGCACAACTTGCAAAGAGAAATAAGTGTTAAAGTGAAATAGAACACACAATTTACTATTACAGGTTACATATTTAAATAAGTATATTATTATTTGAAAATATATCCAAACTCTAGAAGCTTGTGGCAAAATAGGTTCTTTCCTCCTAAACACTGAATTTCTGATCAGACTATAAATATGAAAGACTGATAAAACTGAGTTCTTCCATCTGTATAAGTCACTCTCACATAGGTACCTACTGGTCTAGCAACAAATTATGGTCTGAGATTCCCAATCTGGAGGAATAGCAAGAGGAAACTGAATGTATAGGTCAAGACCTTGAGGAAAAAAAAAGGGCCCACTGTGGCATAGGCCTGACTTTGTAACCTTCCACAGGACTATCTTCTTGTCCTGTATCTCATGACTTCTTATAGGCAGGCTCTCAGGCAATTTATCTATCTTTATAAGCTCCCAGCAATCTGTTTTAGGCTAATTTTCAAACATTTTAAAATATATTTTACTTTTTAAAAAGTACAGTTAGTGTTAAGTTCTTTTTCAAAATAATTACCAATTGCAAATTTGTATTAAAGATACTGATAAAAATGAACTTAAGTTTGATCATGTCTTTCATAGTGGTTTTTACTGAGAAGTAATAGAGCTATTGAATACTGTAAATGTTAAGCTCATCCAGTGGATATATATTAGAAAGGAAGAAACATGATTTGTGCATTGTTTTCATCCTTTAAAAAATCTAAGGCCTTTGTAAGGTAAGAACTTGGTCAATCATTTATTCACTGAGCCAATGTTTTGGAAAGATTTATTTCTTTATTTGAAAGTGAGAGTTACAGAGAGAGAAGGAGAGACAGAGAGAGATTGATCTTGAACTAGTTCACTCCCCAAATGGCTGCATCAGCCGGGTCTGGGCCAGGCTGAAGCCAGGAGCTAGGAGCTTCATCCCAGTATCCCACATGGGTACAGGGGCCCAAGGAGTTTGGCCATCTTCTCCTGCTTTCCCAGCATTGAGCCAGTATTTATAGTGTCTACTACTATATGTTAGCAACTGTGCTAAGGGTTTTCTCTAATCATTGTGTACATTTTCTCTAATCATTGTGTACATGAAGTCTAGTCCTGTTGTTCTTGCCTTTCAAATAGATATATAAATAAATAAGTCTTTAAAAATATTTGAAATTGGGGACTGGCACTGCGATGTTGAGGGTAAAGCTCCCACCTGCAGTGCTGGCATCCCATATGGGCACCAGTTCGAGTCCTGGCTGTTCTGCTTCCTACCCAACTCTCTGCTATAGCCTGGGAAAGCAGTAGAGGATGGTCCAGCTCCCTGGGCCCCTGTATCAGTGTGGGAGACCTGCAAGAAGCCCCTGGTTTCTGGCTTTGGATCAGCCCAACTATGGCCATTACAGCCATTTGGGAAGTGAATCAGCAGATGGAAGACTTTCTTTATCTCTCTCTCTTTGCCACTGCCTCTCTGTAACTGTGTGCTTCAAAAAATAAATTAATTAAAAAAATATTTAAGGGGCCAGCGCCGTGGCACAGTAGGTTAATCCTCCGCCTGCGGCGCTGGCATCCCATATGGGTGCTGGTTCTAGTCTAGTTGCTCTACCTCCAATCCAGCTCTCTGCTATGGCCTGGGAAAGCAGTAGAGGATGGCTCAAGTCCTTGGGCCCCTACACCCACATGGGAGACTGGGAAGAAGCGCCTGCCTCCAGGCTTCGGATCTGCACAGTTCCAGCTGTTGCAGCCATTTGGAGAGTGAACCAGTGGAAGGAAGACCTTTTTCTCTGTTTCTTCCTCTCACTGTCTGGAACTCTACCTCTCAAATAAATAAATAAAAAATATTAAAAAAAAAAATTGAGGGGCTGGCGCTATGGCATAGCCCGTAAAGCTGCTGTCTGCAGTGCTGGCATCCTATATGGGCACCAGTTTGTGTCCTGGCTGCTCCACTTCAATCCAGCTCTCTGTTGTGGCCTGGGAGAGCAGTAGAAGATGGTCCAGGTCCTTGGGCCCCGGCACCCGTGTGGGATACCTGGAAGAAGCTACTGGCTCCTGGCTTTGGATTCCCGCAGCTCCAGCCATTGTGGCCAACTGGGGAGTGAACTGGTGGATGGAAGATCTCTCTCTCTCTCTGACTCTCCTCTCTCTGTGTAACTCTGACTTTCTAATAAATCTTTGAAAGAAAATTTGAAATTGGGGCTGGTGTTGTGGTATAGTGGGTTAAGCTGCCACCTGCAATGCCAGCAACCCACATGGGCACCAGTTCAAGTCCTGCTGCTCCTCTTCTGATCCGGCTCCCTAGTATTTACCTGGAAAAGCAGTGGGGCCCCTTTTACCCACATGGGAGACCCCAATGAGGTTCCTGGCTCCTGGTTTGGTCTGATCAGCCCTATCTATTGTAGCCATTTGGGGGAGTGAACCAGCAGATGGAAAATCTTCTCTTTCTGTCCCTCTTTCTCTGTAACCTGTCTTTCAAATAAATACATAAATCTTTGAAAAACTTATTTGAAGTAATTTCATAGATAAAAATTAGAAAATATAAAATAGTTAAAAAAACAAGATGATTGATTATTATGATTAGATAAGAGGTAAGATTTGCACAGACTCCCATACTCTGGTCATGTACAGTTGCTAAAAAAATAGGTCTTATATTTGACTGTGGGGAAACAGAACTATCACTAAAATGTGAAGAATAAAAGCAAGCAGTTCAGTCAAGCATGCTTTTCACCGTACTGATATCTGAAGAACAGTTTTTATGATGTTTCTGACAGTTATTTTTGTACCATAATGTCATATTGGACTTAGGTTTAATTCATAGGTACTAACACATATGATTTTTTCTAGGAGTGTTTTGTTTAGCTGTTAAATTTAGTCCTGTGATTTAATGGAATGTGTGAGCTAGAAGTCCCACATTATTCATTTGTTGTCCAGTTACACCAGCTTTCCCTATTCTTTAACTTGTTAATATAGAAAAAAATTAATGTGTAAAAATGGTAATCAGAATCATGCTCTGTCGCAAATATAGGAACCTTAAAACATTGGATTGCTGGTAATCACCCCTGTCGTAATATGCCATAGATGCCAAATATTTTGGCTGCCTTTTACTCACAGATTATTGTTTTTGTTGTCTTATGCAGTTATTACTTTTTTTAAAGACCTAATAATAAATTTACCTTCACCTCTCCCATCATTCCTTCCAGCATCTCAGGACTCATTTTTTTCTTCTTCCTGAAAGAAACTAAAGAGATTTAGCAGTTCCTTTAGTGAGTCTTTTGGTAGTAAACTCTGTTTTTGTTTAGCTTGTTTTTGTTTAGCTCTTTAAAGCTAAACAAAAAGATTGTTTCCCTGGAGAAAAGCATTTTTTTGAATGTCAGTTATTTACCTTTAACTCTTTGAAGATACTAGTCTACTGTGTTATGAATTCCGTTATTGATGTTGAGAAGTTAGTAAATACTCTGATAGTTGTTGAGTGAATTATCTGCCTGTCCTCTGTGGCGCACTTCTTCTTGTGTGGTGTTTTGTAGTTTCTTGATGATAAGCTTTTATCCTGCTATCCTGCTATGTTAACAATGGAATTGTTGGGGCCGGCGCCATGGCTCACTTGGTTAATCCTCCGCCTGCGGCACCGGCATCCCATGTGGGTGCCGGGTTCTAGTCCTGGTTGTCTCGGTTGCTCCTCTTCCAGTCCAGCTCTCTGCTGTGGCCCAGGAAGGCAGTGGAGGATGGCCCAAGTGCTTGAGCCCCTGCACCCACACGGGATTTATTTATTTATTTATTTATTTATTTATTTCGATTTATTTATTTACTTGAGATGCAGAGTTACAGAGAAAGACAGGCATCCATCCGCTAGTTCACTCCCCAAATGGCAGCAACAGCCAGAGTTGAGCTGGGCTGATCAGGAGCCAGGAGCTTCTTCTGGTTCTCCCCTGTAGGTGCCGGGTCCCAAGCACATGGGCCATCTTTTACTGCTTTCCCAGGCTATCAGTAGGGAGCCAGATTGGAAATGGGGCAGCCGGGGCTAGAACCATTGCCCACATGGGATGCCGGCACCACAGGAGGATGCTTAACCTACTACACCACAGTGCCAGTCCCAAGACTCCTGTTCTTGTCTTGGATGCTCCATTTCCAGTCCAGCTGCCTGCTGATGGCCCAGTGTTTGGCACCCTGTTACCCTTGGGAGACCAAATGAAGCTTCTGGTTCCTGGCTTCAACCTGGCCTAGCTCTGGCCATTGCAGCCATCTGGGGAGTGAACCAGTAGATGGAAGTTCTCTCTATCTCTATGTGTTTCTTTTTGTTTTTGTTTTTTTTCTCTTCATACTATTTGTTGAACTGTTTTACTTAGAGTAAGGTTAACTAACTATATGATCATTAAGTGTACTGAAAGTAGATCTTTGTAGAAATTAAGAGTGGAAATCTGAGAAGGGCAGGGGGAGGAAATGTTGGAGTGTGGGGGGTGCCACTGTGTTTCTAATTTGTAAAAATACATAATAATCTATACTACATTAATAAAAAATTCCATAGACTTTTGGAGACATTTGTCCTGTTTCTATTTAGAATTGACTCTCAATAAAAATATCTCCCTGTATTTTCTTGTTCAACTGATTATCATTCTGTACTTGATATTTTGGAGGGCTAGAGAACCAGGCTTACGGTTAAGCTTTCAGATGCCTCATATCCTGTCTGAAAACTGTCACTCTCCGGTCCATCCAGCACTGGAGGAAACCCGTTGTGCTATCCAAGTGCTGCCACTTCTGAACCAGGATCTTGATTTTGTAGTCACTGTTGGACCTCTTCTCTTGCTGCCATTGTGGAAAACTGATGCTTTCCCTAATGTCTATACCAGCTGCTATAGTCCGTTTTCTCTTGTGACTCATTTCCGAATTGAAATCTAGTTGCAGGGTATGTTGTGAATTTGAGGTTTGAAGCTTAGTTTGGTAGGTTGGACTAATAATAAAAGAATTTTTCCAAGCACATAAAGGCTCTGCAGAAGCTGATTAAGTATCCTTGAATATGATAAATATTTGCCCTAATACTTTTGCTCGTATCCCTCCATCTATTATACTTCTTTCCTTTTCATCTCCAGGTGAATACATTTTGTACAAAGACCAAGTAAAATTCTGTCTTTTATGCTAGTCTGGCTCATCCTAACCTGAATTTTCTTATGACTTTATCAATGGTTCTTTCCCCCTTACTTTACTTCTTTGAAATAATGCCAACACACAAGTATTATTAAATATGCTCTGGTGTTAGAGTTGAACAATATGGAAAAACATAGAAAATGTGAAAGCTGCCTTTCACCCCTCAGTATCTCTAACCTCCGCATTTAGATTTGTCTTCCCTTTCTAGATATCTCCTGATAACAAAATTATAATGACTGCTTTTAATTTTGTATATATGATGATGATTTGTCACTGAATGCTAAGTTCATTTAATGTAGAGGCACTTATTTTTTGACTTTTGTAAGAGTCTACTACCACTATTCTTGTGTGAAGAATAATATGCTATTTGGGCCTGATAATAGATAATCAGTTATTTTTGAAGTAAAAATTTACAATTTGGGAATTTAATGACTGTAAAAAGAAAGATACAAATCAAATTAGATGCCAAGATTCTAGTTTGGGTTATATTCTTGTATCATTGATGCCATTTAATGAGTCTAGAAGTTTTGGAAACAATTTGTCTCTGCAAGTATATTACTTAGAGCCTTTTCTGAATATTTTCCATTATTGCAGGAGCTCCTTTAGCCATATTTCTAATTAATTAATTTAATTAATTAATCTTTAGGCTGGAGAGTTGCTGAAATATTCAGATCTGGCATAGATTTCTTCAGTTTAGGAAAGCATGAAAAATGCCATTTTCTGATAGAGTTGTGACTGAAACTTCAATGTTGGATTATGAGTTAAGACTCCTCAGTGGGGAAGTTAATTTTTTTTTCTTTTGAAGGCACACTTCTTTGATTAAATAGGGTAACATTTTTCATTTGTAAATAGGTGGTGAAAGGGCATATGCTTTATTATATTTTCTTATTTAGAAAATGTTTGAAAGTATTTAGATGCTTCAAAAAATTCATGGGAAAATGGAATTAAAAGATGTTATTTTTGTGCAAAGGCAATCTTGATTTCTCTATTTTCATAATGTATGTTTTCCATGAAATTCTTTGAAGATCCCTTAGAAGTTTGCCTTATTTCAGATAAACATAGCAATAATACTGATTTCCTTGTTTTAAAGAAGTGCCCCTGAAAGTTGGTGCTAGGATACCATGTTCACGTTTTTCTTTTGGCATTTTGTATTTTACCTCATTCACTCTTGTCTGCTAATTGTACCTAATTTGGCAATCTTCTTTTTCCAGATCATTCAACTTCAAGTGGCACGTTATCTTTTAAGCCTAGCCGATCATTGGTTACTCTCCCTACTGCCCATGTGATGCCATCCAACTCCAGCCCTTCAATTTCCAAACACAGGGAATCATTAACAACAGATGGCTCAAAATGGAGTACAAGCTTCTTGCAAACATTGAGAGACCACAGTAGGGGGCAGCAGGACTCCTCTCTCGACATGAAGGACTTTCGGCCTCTTCGGAAATGGTCGTCTTTATCTAAACTCACTGCCCCCTATAATTGCAAGGAGGGTGGCACTGCACCAGCAGAAGAGTCAAGGAATGGTTTGGAAAAGACAGGGCGGGGCAAGGCCTTAACATCACAATTAAGGACAATTGGGCCTAGCTGCTTACACGATAGTATGGAGATGCTTAAGCTAGAAGACAAGGAAATAAATAAAAAACGGTCATCAACTCTGGACTGCAAGTATAAGTATGAGAGCTGTAGCAAAGACGACTTCAGAGCCTCTTCTGCTCTAAGGAGACAGACTTTAGACATGACATACAGTGCCTTACCTGAAAGCAAGCCCATTATGATGAGCTCAGAGGGCTTTGAACCCCCAAAATACTTAGGACTTGGTCAACAGGCCGTAGGTGGAGTTCCTATTCAGCCTTCTGTGAGGACTCAGATGTGGCTTACAGAGCAGTTGCGGACAAACCCTTTGGAAAACAGAACTACAGAGGACTCTTACAGTTTAGCTCCTTGGCAACAGCAGCAAATTGAAGAGTTTCAGCAGGGAAGTGAAACACCAATGCAGGTAAAGCTCAAAATCTAGTGTTTGCTTCCCTCCAGTGGATGTTTTGAGTACTGTAACACATTTATAGTTAGTCTGTGATAGTCACTGATTCTGCTTTTCCTTTTCCCTGCAAGTTAATAAGCATAGTTATATATTAGAAACTTGAAAAATGTTGCTTTGATAAACAAAACTTACAAGCATTTGAGATAAATTAACATGAGAAACTTAAAAATCTTATACCTAATTTTATTTTTACTTTCCAGTTGTTAAATGGGCATAAAAAAGCAAAAATATATTTAATAAAAAACCCTCTTGAAATAGAAAAGAATCTGGCCTACTATAATAGAAAGAACATTAGCTTCAGAGTACTAGGTGTTGGATTGTATTTCTGGTTTTGTCACATTAGAACCTGGATGATTCTTGATCTATTATTTAATTTCTCTGGGTCATTTGTAAAATTTTGATGGTGGTTGATATATATTTAGGTTTGTAAATCAGATGTGTCTGTCAAGATTTGTTAATCAACTTCACTAAAGTACTTTATGATAAAGCCATATATTAAATAAAATAGAGCCCCTAAAAAAACTAGGGACTAATGTGTAAATGTATAAATTTCTTGATCTGGAAATGTTTCCATTCTCAGGAACCAATTTTATGATATAAAACATGTTCATTTATTATTAAAACATTTGTAAAATGAATTACTATAGGAAAAATTATAAGATTTCCTTTGAGTAAAAATTTTAAATGATTTTCATTACTATTGCTAATAAAAATAATAAAGAATAAGGAATATAGTTATGTTGGCCGGCGCTGCGGCTCAATAGGTTAATCCTCCTCCTGCGGTGCCAGCACACTGGGTTCTAGTCCCAGTCGGGGCACCGGATTCTGTCCCGGTTGCTCCTCTTCCAGGCCAGCTCTCTGCTGTGGCCTGGGAGTGCAGTGGAGGATGGCCCAAGTACTTGGGCCCTGCACCCCATGGGAGACCAGGAGAAGCACCTGGCTCCTGCCTTTATTCAGCGGTGCGCCAGCCCCAGCAGCGGACGCGCGGCATAGAGGTGAACAATGGCAAAGAAGACCTTCTCTCTCCTCTCCCTCTCTCTCCTGTCCACTCTGCTGTCAGAATAGCATATAAAAAAAAAAAAAAAATAGAATATAGTTACGAAAGGATAAGGAGGTCACTTATCTAGAAAACTCATAAATCTGAATACAATTTCAAAACATACACAAAACCTAATGTGCTACATAATCAAAGAATCCTTAACACATATAATGTGACTTCTTTCCTCTTTCTTTGCACACAATTCTGATAATCATCTTGGTTATGTATATTTAAACCATATTGCCAAACAGAAACATTATGATTGACTTACAAATAAAAAAAGCAATTAACTGGATTTGTGATCTATCACTTCAAGTTACTGAAAGATAGGAAGTGCATTTTTAAAATATTGTCATATTTCAACTTTCAAGTGCTTGTGAATATGCACAAACAGGGCTCGGGTGGTTGTTTCTCCAGGTGATTTTGTTACACAGAATTGGAGCTACCCAGAGGGAGTGAGTGTGTAACTGAGAAAATTGGGCAATTTTTAGAGTGATAAGTACTAATTCCCTCCTCCTTTCATTCTGCTTTTTCCTTAACCTTGAAGCAACACGGTAAGGTAAGGTGGTCTTTTGGAGGTTCATGGTGGAGAAAAAGCTTGTGTCTTCTAGGAGTGTGAAGTGTAGGGAGAAGGCTAATAATGGAAAAAATTTGTGTGTATTCTGGAAAGCCCTACTTCTTGATTAACTTGATTTGGAGGTGGTTTCTTTACAGCGCTTTTACATTTAGGAGTAGAAAGATGGACCAAGGTAAAGCAACTAGACTTTAGTTGAAATCTTGTGGTGACTGCTTCTCTTCTAATTTCCTTCTTGGATGACTACATGAAGAGTTCTTACTTAGGTTCTCCTTAGAGCCTCCAGGGACTCTCTTATTTTAAAGCTCTTATCCTAGTGGTTTCTTAAAAGTTCCTAACAAGTCTCTTTGAAACATTTAGTTCCTTGCAGTATAGTTTTTACATAAGGAAAAGAACCTTGGTAAGGACTAACCCATCTGATAAATTGTGATTTTTTTTTCACTCACTGTTACTCAACTCTCATCAAGAGAAAAATAGTTCCTGTATATCTAAGAAAAGGAATTTCACTGAAAGTCATGTTTGAGTAACACCATAGATTTATTAAGAACTTTGTAGATCTCATTATTTTATTTCAGTTTTCACAGTTATTATTCCCGTTTGTGAACAAAGTTAGTTTGTCACATAGAAGTTTTGCTTTTCTTTTTTTCTCTTCTTAGGACTCAGTACAGAGCAGTTATGTTCTTTGATTTTTTTTTCTAAATCATCTGGAATGCTGCTAGTGTAATACTCTGAAGCATTTTACTTTGTGAATGAGGAAAAACTATGTCCTCAGTTGGTTTAGGGCATAGAGGGGCTCATGTGCACTGTCCAGCATTGGACTTTGGTTCTTTCCTTTGTACCCCATTACACACTGCATCTCTAAACTGTCTGACTAAGAAATGTGACAGAAGAATAAGAAGTTTTGTCTTCTTTTTGGGAAGAATACTTCCCCCTTTCTGTGTGTCCATTTCTATTTCTTTTCTGGGAGAGCAGAGGGAGTAGAGAATGTACATTTTTGCACATAACAGCTGTATCTATTAGATTCCTATAGACCCAGCATGGATCTCCCAGACACTAAAGTAGTGGTCTCTTTATTGATAAAGTTACTTTTTTTTCCTTTTATATTCCCTAAGGTGTTTTAAACTCTGGATGCAGTCATTTAAAGGAAGAACATGAAATTTGTGCCCATTTAAATCATATACAGACACCTAATAGTTTCAACATGTTTTATGTAATATATATGTAATATATCTATATTTCATGTAAATTTATATTTTCATATCTTAACAAAAATTGATAAAATGTCTTTTAGACTTAACTTTTGTCTAATATGAGAATTTTTTTTAACTTGAGAGTGTTTTGTGTATGTTCTTTTGAAGTAACAGTTTTAATGTTTTTATTTTTTGTTATTTTTTCACCCTCTTTTCTTTAAATTTTTTTTTTACTATTTGACTTACTCTGAATAGTCCTTTGAAAGATGTATGACACTATAGATAGGATATAACGTGACACATTCATTAGATAGCTAAAAAGTATATATTGCATTTTTGTATAAATAAAAATTAGTAATGATTTGTCTTTTTTAATATGTCAACTTTTCTGTATTATTTGGCTTGTAATTTCTAGACATTTTCAAGATGTATTGTTACTTAGCAGAAGAGCAGATCTTTTTTGAAATTTATCATAATCCGGCCGGCACCGCAGCTCAATAGGCTAATCCTCCACCTGCAGCTCCGGCACACCGGGTTCTAGTCCCGGTCGGGGCGCCGGATTCTGTCGCGGTTGCCCCTCTTCCAGTCCAGCTCTCTGCTGTGGCCCGGGAGTGCAGTGGAGGATGGCCCAAGTGCTTGGGCCCTGCACCCCATGGGAGACCAGGAGAAGCACCTGGCTTCCAGCTTTGGATCAGTGCGATGCCCCAGCCGCAGCACGCCGGCCACGACGGCCATTAGAGGGTGAACCAATGGCAAAGGAAGACCTTTCTCTCTGTCTCTCTCTCTCACTGTCCACTCTGCCTGTCCAAAAAAAAAAAAAAAAAAAAAATCATATTCCTACTTTGTCAGAAGAATAAAAAAAGTATCAAAGAAATAATCTCTAGGTAAAGGCAAATTCATTATTTTATATAGGTCTGCCCTCTTGTGTCTGTACTAGGAATCATGATTTCATTTTATTTGTAGAGTCACTCAAAAAAAAGAAAGAAATCTAGAAAATCAAAACAGTATAAGTAGAATGTTTTATAGTTAGTATCATGAGAATATTAGAAAGCCATTTCACTGAGTTCAAGAATAGTTTTTTTAAAAATTTTATTTATTTATTTAAGAGGCAGAGAAAAAGAGAGTGAACTTTCCCATCTGTTGGTTCACTCCCTGAATGCCCACAAATGGCCAGGACTGGACCAGGCTGAAACTGGGTGCTGGGAACTGAATCCAAGTCTTCCACAAGAGTGACTGGAACCAAATTACTTGAGCCATCATTGCTACCTCTCAGGATCTGTATTAGTAGGAAGCTGGAGTGAGGAGCCAGAGCCGTGTATCAAAACAGGTACTTGGATATGGGATGCTGGTGTCTTAACCAACATCTTAACTGCTAGGCTAAATGTCTGCACCAAGAACATTATTTTTAATGCAAATAATTCAGATTATTTGCATTAAACAAATACACATTTTTAATCAATTAAAATATAATGGATCACAATTCAACATTTAAAACTTAGTTCTTTTTCAACTATTCAGTAAATTAAGATTCGAATTCATTTTCTAGCATTTAGAATTAAAAACAATTTTAATACACTGTTTTCTTGTATCTTACTCTTTACACATCATGATAAGCAGAGTAGTTCCATTTAGAGAATGAGGGTTTTTTTTTTTAACATTATAATCTGAGTTAGAATATTCTGAATACTCACAGTATCAGGTTTTAATTTCTATCAAAGATAGAATGAAGAATGAAAACGATTTTTGTTTCTGTATTACTGAGGAAAAACCCAAGTTTACATTTATTAGTTTGAGATTTATATTGTAATGAACAATGTAATAATTATCAGTTCAGCTTTTCCACTTACTTTTAAGAACGGAACAGCTAATTATCGAATTTAAATACTTTCTGAATAGGTGGTTACTGAGACCAGTCAGGTAAGTTTATCACCTGTGTTTACAAGCCCTCTAGTTGTTATTAAGGATCTCCAACCTTTCGGTGAGGCTACACTGAAGAAATCCTGTTAGTGTGAGACCACCTTTTCTCTTTGTTGCTCAGATATCTGTGAACCAAAACTATGCCACTTTCCATCATCAGGGATTCAGAGAATTTAAAAGCAGTTTCCCCTTTATTATTCAGTTACCAGAACTTGTATTAGGTAGAATCCAAGATCAGTGTTGATATTTCAAATTCTTGTAGTAACCACATTTTATCAAATATGATTACTTATACATTCTCTTTTAATAATTGATATATTAGTAGTATGTCTTGACCTGAAGTTAAAATTGTAGGATTATGCTACATAGGTGTAAACCATTTTAAGCTTAACTTTTTTTTGAGGTTCAACTTATTGTTTTAAAAAATTTATTTTAATTTTATTGGGGGTGGGGGGAGGAAGCGAGAGACAAAGATAGAGAAAGAGCTTCCTTCTGTCTGCTAGTTGACTCACCAAATGCAGTAGCCAGGACTGGACCAGGCTGAAACCAGAAGCCTGGAATTCAATCTAGGTCTCCCAGGGGGTGGCAGGGAGCCAAGTACTGAGCCATCATCTGCCTCCTCCCAGGGTTTGCATTGGCAGGAAGCTAGAATCAGAAGTGGAGGCCTGACATGAACCCAGGCACTCTGCTACAGGATGTGAACATACCAAGGAGTGTTTTAATTACTGCGCCATTTGCCTGCCTTTGACTTGATTTTAAACTTTGGGGTCAACTTAAATGATGAAATTTTGGTGAATTATTTTCCAACACCAAATTTTTATTCAGTTATTTTATGAATTGTTTGGAAGATGCTATAAAATGATCAGAGAGAATATTGATATATTCAGCAGGAAAATAATTATTAGTTAGGATCATTGGATTTATTATTTAGCTCAGTAATTACAGATTAGCACTTCTAGCTTTGTCATTTAGCCCAGGAAACACTTACAGTGTTTACCATCTGTTTGATAAATTAAGGGAAATAGTCATATCCTATTATAAATACTAGGTGGGACCAAAGTTCATTTCAAAATGTAATCCAAGAATTAGATACTATATGGAGAAAGAATTCAAATTTTTAATTTTTAATGCTTCATATAATTTCTTTTCCTGTCATGTTTTCTTTGTCCACATTGAGCATGATGCTAGGTAGAGGACAACCTGTAAAATCATTGTGAAGTCTTAAAATTTCATGATTACAAAGATATAGTATAGCAAATCAGGTACTGCAGTTCAGATAATCTGCTACAGTGCCGAAAACTAATGAGACTATATTCTGTTAGTAATGATGGCCAACCACACTGCAGTTTATTAAATTGCCCACCAGTCCTCATCTTTTGATTATAATGTCCTCAAGAGATCAGACTTAAAATTTATTTCCATGTACTTCAGTTCTGTATTTCCTAGAGAAAATTAATTGAGGGGAATTTTATTTAGGTAAGAATAAGGCCCTACAAAACCACTTGATTCTCAGAGATTTTTAAAGTGTTAATATAAATAGCATAAAAAAAGTACAATTTCTGTTTTAGCATGTGGGTTTTGGTAAGGGGTTACTACAAAGGCTTTTTTGTAATAATATAATAATAACGATAACAAACATGAGGAATCAGTGGCTATTTTAAATAATGACACTTCATTTGAATTATTTTGGTACTTAATGGAGACCTGAAAAATACTTAGTATCAAAGAAGCTATTACAGTGCAATATAAATTATATTTACCCCGAAGAGTGAAGCTAATGCTTTACATATGAAGTGAACTTGCTAGCAGTGCTGTTTCAAAATTAAGCTCTTATTTCATCCTCAGAAAAGATTTGGGATAGAAATTTATAAGCCATGTTGAAGAAGTCAGCAGTTACATTGTACACACTTGAATTATAGTCATTTCAAAGTTAATTTTGGAAAACAAAGCCCTTTCATGGTTAGAGGATCCAGCAAATGAATACATTTGCCAAGAATTTGTTTTACTCTTAATCTCGACCTTTTCACCAGGAAATTCTTGTGTTCAGGACGTGGTCTGTTACGTGGTGTTCTCCTCTCTTCACGGGGTGGTAGACTTTAAGCTGATGTGGGAAATGACGGATCTGGAGGTTCAGCAGAACTTCAGAGAAGCATGACGATGATGCAGATCAGCAGGAGACATATCAAGATGAGACAGAAATTGATAAATAGGTTCTGGAGGTTTTGACGTGCTTGTTGAGGCATTTCAATGGTTGAGGCTCTTCTTATAGCAGAGCGAGTGAGGTATTGAACTTTCTCCATGGCACTAAGAAGGCAGGAAGTCTGAAGTTTTAATATGTCAAGAGAAAGCTAAAAAGCTGGTCCCAGATGTGAGAGGACTGTCTTCTTTTAGGTAGCCTGGAATATAACAATAGTGAATAGATTAGGATCATATGTGTAATATATTTGCTGAACTTGTAAGATGCAATTTTGCATTAATTCATCTTCAGAACGATAAAATATCAGATGTCTGTAGTCTGTGTGTCCATGCATATGTTTTTGTGTATCTCTTTTTAATGGTGGGGCATACCATCACTGTTTGATTTGTCCTGTGTTTGGAATGTAGTAGCTTCAGTTTTTGCTTTCACACAGAGTGACTTGAAGTATGATTTGGTTTATAGTACAACTTTTTTTGGGGGGGGGGGTTATCTCTTTGGGTAAAAGTTCTTAACATATAGTTGAAGTCTGTTTCTCTGTAAACATATTGATGTGATCATTTAGTGTACTGATAGCTCCAGAACCAATCTCATGAAAAATGCATAAAGTAAGTTATTCCTTGGATCTTAATTTTAGTCCAAAATATGATAGGTAAATTAGTAGCATTTTATAAGAAATATAAATTCAAATTGTTTGTTATTCCTTTCTATAATTTCGTAGCTTTATAGAGTGTAAGTTTAAACATTTTTAACAAAACTTAAGTACTGAAGAGTTTCAACCTTGGAAGGCATAGTAACTGTTGTCATCTCACTGTCTACCACCAGCAGTTCCTACTTAGAGATGACCTGTGCTATGAATAGAAGTGTCTACCTTGCCTTTTTTGAGGGCTCCCATAACCTTTTCCTGCCTTTGGAGCCTGAAGTTTGAAATAAGACAAAAATCAAATAAAAAGTTAATGCATGCCATTATAGGAAAACTAGGTAGAGATTTAAAACTAACTGTAGAGGCTGGTGTTATAGTATAGCAGATTAAACTACTGCTGGGACATTGGCAGCACCTCATATCACAGTGCCAGTTCGAGTTCTGGCTACTCTGCTTCCAATCAGGCTCCCTGTTAGTGTGCCTGGAAAGCAGCAGATAATGCCTTCCAACCACGTGGGAGACTCAAATGGAATCCTGGCTCTTGGCTTCAGCTTGGCCCAGTCTCAAGCTATTGTGGTCATTTGAAGAATGAACTAGTGGATGGAAGATCTCTCTCTCCCTCAACCTCTCTCTCTCTCTCTCTCTCTGCCTTTCAAATAAATAAGTAAATAAATAAACCTAAAAATAAACTCCACTAACTATAAAATAACTGTCCAGAAAGAATTGATATTAACATTTGGTGATATTTCATCTTCCATCAGAATGTTTGTTTCAATTTTGAAATAAGAAATTTAAAATGGAATTTTAAAATCCCATAATTAATTGCTCAGAGAAAATGACTGTCAATAAATTCAGAATAAAACGGAAGCTGGGGTTATAGTGTAGCAGATTAAGCTGCCACCTGTGATGCCAGCATCCAGTATTGGTGCTCCACTTCTGATCCAAGCTCCCTGCTATTGTAGATGGGAAAGCAGCAGGTGACCACCCAAGTACTAAGGCCCTTCCACCCATATGGGAGACTTGGTTGGAGTTCCTGGCTTCTGGCTTCTGTCTGTCCCAGCCCTGGCCATTCGGGGAGTGAACCAGGGATGGAAGATCTCTCTCTCTCCCAAATTCTGCCTTTCAAATAAATAAAATAAATCTTTTTTTTTTTTAAAGAGTAAAACAGATTCTTAGCAAATTTATTCCTCTGCCAGATCTTGTAAATGTGAAAGGAGTTTATTTTCTAAAATTAACTTCACAATGACTATAGACTAAGTGTATTTACTGTAACTGTTCACTTCCTCAGCATGGCTTGTTGATACATCATTATTAATCAAGATTTTACTACCTTACCCCAGCTGCCAGATTTCATTTTCTTGCTAGTCTCTGTATATCCTATGAGAGCCCACCTCATCCTGTTATCCCCATTCTTGAAAGAGGCAAGTGCTGAAAGAATGGGACGGGTAAAGACATGCATCAGTTAAACTCAACATTTATTTTTCAAAAGAAACTATGTAGTATATGGTGGTTAGGTTTTTCTTTTTTTCCCCAACAAGATACTTATTTTTGAAGGAGAGAGCGAGCTAATGAGAGTGAGTGTGAGCACGTGAGCACATGAGAGCCAATCCAGTGGTTTATGCCCAAAATGTACACATCAATAGGACTGACCCAGGCTAAAGTTGTGACCTGGGTGCTTAGTCCAGGTCTCCCGTGTAGGTGACAGGAACCCAGTTACTTCAGCCATCACTGCTTGTCTCCCAGGGCCTGCATTAACAAGTAGCCAGAGTCAGGAGCTGGAGCCAGAAATGTAACCCCAGGTATTCTGCACTGGGATGTGAACATTTTAACCATAGGCTAAACACTTGCCCCAACTCTGTAATGTTTAGTACTTCAAGTTGGCTCTGTTACAGTTTGAATTGTGTAATTGACTGGACTTTCATGTGTCTTAAGACTCTGTCCCTCAGTGTGTTGGTCTGTAGTAAGTAGTTCCACACAGCCAACTTAGAGCAAACAATTTTTTAAAAAAAGATTTATTTATTTATTAATTTGAGAGGTAGAGTGAGGGGCAGAGAGTTCTTCCATCTGTGATTCACTCCTCAAATGGCTATAATGGCCGGAGCTGGCCTGATCCAAAGCCAGGAGCCAGGAGCTTCTTCTGGGTCCCCCACGCTGGTGCAGGGGCCCAAGTGCTTGGGCCATTCTCCCACTGCTTTCCCAGGCCATAGCAGAGAGCTGGATTGGAAGTGGAGCAGCCAGGACTACGACTGGTGCTCATATGGGATGCTGGCACTGCACGCTGCGGCTTTACCCACTATGCCACAGTGCTTGCCTGACTTCATTATTTTATAAAGAATTGGCAACAGCCTGCGTTTCCCTAACATGTAGTCTTCATTGTCCAACACAGGTGACTAAACGTATCTGTAAATTTCCCTACTTAGAAAATGACAGCTAAAACTGTTTATTTAATTACTTTTGCTTGATTTCTTCAGAAAAAATATTATAGAAATAAAGTTTTCATTCTTTGAGTACATGCAGCCTTTACATTACTTCTGCATGTATTTGCTGTGCTATATCAGTGAATTTATATTATTGGGGAAGTGTGGGCAGATTTTATTTATTCCTTTATATTTTTGACTAGTCACTTTGTATGAGAACATTTAATGATACAGTTAAAACATAAGAATTAACATTGGTAATTTCTATTTTTATAAAACTTGAGGGCTTAAATGGTCTTAAAGTCTGAGTTTTAAAAGTTATTTTGAGATAAACTTGGGCAAGGAGAGGGCTGGTCAGCAATTCATCAAGAAGCGTTTACAGGAATCATCCTTGCCCTGACATTTATGAGTGGGTACTTCAGTCACGTGCAACATGTCAGCTTTCCATAAATACTCTGTTCCCTTTTTTATTTTGTTCTTTGCACATGTTGTTCTGCTTTTGCCTGTTGTACTCCCTTTCCACCTCCTTCCACCTTCTGATTGTTTGCCAAACTTTGGTTGATCTGAAAACCCAATTTAAATATCACTTCCTAATAATATCTTTGATTAGTCATTAAGGTAGAATTAGGCATTAAGGTAAAACCTATGATGGGTTTTCAAGGACTTCCGTGTTATCTATATAAGAATAACAGGTTGTGCTGTAACTTAAATTTACATATCTGTGTCCCCAATTACACTTCTGGTTCATGAGTAAGGAACTGTGTGTTCATTTTGTATCCTGGTGTCTAGTGCATAATTGACACCATTTGATTAGATCAGTAAAGTTGAATAAGGGAGTTTTATGACTGAAAATTTTAGAAAACTGTTGAAAACCATGCTGTGATTAACAGGTTAATCAGGTAAAATAATAGAATTTGTTGGTTAAACACACACACTCTGATATTCTTCTTGTCACTTCCTGTCACAGATGAGGAAAATAAGTTCCAGAGAGTCTGCTGATAAACACAGTATTAACCTAAACTAGGCTGTATATAAATGTGTATTCCCATTATTGAAAATATAATACAATAATCTTTAAAGCTGACCTCATAATACCACAACAGCCAATTGTTTGTGAAAAAGGAGAAATTATTGCTGGAAACAAATTGGGTGTAAAGAAGACCAACGAAGATGGTGACCTATTTCTTGTTAAATTTACAGTGATTTGTAGTTACTTCATGATCTGATGATACAAAAAGCTGAAAAGAAATCTTTTCAAGCTGTTACTGGTATGCATTAAATGTTGGGGGTTAATTTAGTTAGTAGTTGTACACTTTGCAGTATACAAAGTTGAGTCCTATTCTGCTGAGCTTCTAAAATCTGTAAATAAGCCAGATTACATCCATAGAAAATGGGGCTTTTGGCGTATGTTAAGAATTGGAAGTTGTGTGTGGGAACATAACAATCCTATTTTTGGAGTTGTCTGTGACCTTCACTGCTTCATAATTTATGGCAGGGTTGTCAGGTGTTCAGCGTTCTTTACTCTGCACTGACAGTAACCCTGGGAATTTAGAAGTCCTGCAGTCTTCTTTTTTGACCACCTTTCTTATAGGCAAGCTGTTATTAGAGCAATATTTGATGGAGAGTATAGAAACATAGTTTACATTTTTCTTATATCCTCTAGTCCCTTTTTAAGAATATTCAGAAATAGATTGTGTCAAAATGTTGAGAACTTGCATGAGGCCTAAACAGCCATGGAAACTGAAGTTACTTCCTTCTCTTTTATTAAAAGGATGACAGTATGTGTTAACTTTCGGGGACAGGAAAGTATTCATTTACAGATTAGTTTAAAAATTTATTGGCTGGCGCCGCGGCTCAATAGGCTAATCCTCCACCTAGTGGCGCCGGCACACCGGGTTCTAGTCCTGGTCGGAGCGCCAGATTCTGTCCCGGTTGCCCCTCTTCCAGGCCAGCTCTCTGCTGTGGCCCGGGAGGGCAGTGGAGGATGGCCCAAGTGCTTGGGCTCTGCACCCCATGGGAGACCAGGAGAAGCACCTGGCTCCTGACTTTGGATCAGCGCGGCGCACCAGCCGCGGCGGCCATTGGAGGGTAAACCAATGGCAAAGGAAGACCTTTCTCTCTCTGTCTCTCTCTCTCACTATCCACTCTGCCTGTCAAAAAAAAATTAATTTATCATTCAGGATCTAAAATCCGAATATTTAAACTATGAAAGATGCTTGATAGTAGATTGATTGTAAAAATGCTAGATCCTGGGGCAGACGCTGTGGCATAGTGGGTGAGGCCGCAGCCTACGCGGCATCCCTTGTGCCTGCCAGTTCGAGTCCCGGCCGCTCCACTTCTGATCCAGCTCACAGCTGTGGCCTGGGAGAGCAGTGGAGGGTGGCCCGGGTCCTTGGGCCCCTGCACCTGTGTGGGAAGACCTGGAGGAAGTTCCTGGCTCCTGACTTCGGATAGGCACAGCTCCAGCCGTTGTGACCAATTTGGGAGTGAACCAGCAGATGGCAGACCTCTCTCTCTGTGCCTCTCCTCTCTCTTTGTAACTCTGCCTTTCAGGTAAATAAATAAATCTTTAGAACAAACAAAACAACAACAAAAGAAATGCTGTATCCCTATCTGTTGTATTGCATATAAGAGGCAGAAAAATTCCCACAGAATTATTCTAATTTTTGGAGAGATGGGAAGAATAGCTTTTTATTCTTCCTTGTAGTATTTATAAAGCCTTTGTAATCCATGTGCTCAAAGTAGGTAAAATTAAAAGTTAACAGTCAAGTTCAAAACAGTGTTCTGTTTTTTGAAGTGGGAGGAGGAAAGAGAAAAACCACAGGGCAACCTTCATTCGTAACACACATCGTGGGCTGTGTTAAGCAACACGCTGAGTAGAAGGTTGTATGTCAGCTCCAACAGGAGTCCTTAGTATGAGTTCTGTTTCAGCAACACAGTGTCAGATGTATGTGCACAGTGGACCTTCAGCAGACTTTTGAAAAATTTTGGTGGCCTGCTTTATGACTTGCTAGGCAACTGACACCTTAATGATGCTGTATATACTGACTAGTAACTGCCACTTGTAAATTAAGCACTTTCAGTTTTTTGGGATATTATTTCTGTTGAAATTGCAATTTCCTGAGATTCTTTATATTTGTGGAATTTAAAATTTTGCTTCCCTGTCTTTATTTCTGTTTGCATGTCTGTTATTCTTGTAAACATGGGTATATTTTGCTAGTGCATTCAAGTCATAAATATCTAAGGCTATAGTCTTGGCAGATGGATTTTTTTCTCATTTAGTTGATTTAGTAGATTAGAATTCTGTACAGATTGAGGTTGGATAAACAGATATGTCTGTATTAGAATTATTCAGTTTTTACTTTTTCCTACCACTCATTTCCATTTGCACAAATGGGCCCGCAGTTATTGTGTCTACATCTTTTTTTTTTTCTTTTTTAAACTTGTTGAAATGAATTAGGAAACTTCATCATTAGATTACAGTCAGTTGGCTTACCAGAGTTCACATTTTCATTTTGACGTTGCCTAACACTAAACTTGAATTTCTGTCTGACATTACTTTGGGGCAGCAACAGTGAAGACTGTAGATCCAGGCTGGATATTTGCGTCTTCAAGTGCTTCTGCCTGCACACAAGAAAATCAGTATCCTCTTGATTCCTAAATGACCCCCATAGTGAAATGCTGGTAAAGCTCTGCCTCGAGGAGGGTTCTCTAAACAATAGCACAGGGATTTTCTCTCTGCAGTTGGCATTTTACTTTTGATATTTTCTATGTAGGTTTTTCTTTTGTTATTTTAAATAATAAAATGATTTAGAAACTAATTTGCAATTAAAATGCGATTTTCAGCCTTGTAGGAGTTGAGACTTCAGATTTTTACTTATTTTTTGAAGAGAATATCATCTTGGCATGTTAGGGAAGTCTTAAGGAAAAATGAATGCCACGTAATAAGTACACCCTTGTTAATGTGAGTGAATTGATCAGCTTTTTTTTTTTTTTTTAAATTTGAAAACCCTGAAGACGGAGTACCTTTAGAAAACACTAGAGGGCCTCAGAGGACTGTAAGTGTACTGGGGTGGCACTGTATTTGTAATACATGCAGGGTTTAAAGACATTGATGTACTGTTTCTGGAAATATTCAGAGAGACCACTCATTTAATTTATAAGTTTATTGCTTTATTTACTTTATTTCCAAACTCTATATTTGTTCCTTTGCCAGTATGATCAGCCCAGGAAACTTTAATTTGACTGGTTGTGGTATATTGCTTAATAATTAAGGATATCTTTCTTATAGTCCCTGGTTTTGAAAATGATCCATAGAATATCATTTAGGCTATTAGGAATATAATGCCTGGTATACAACTTAACTGTAAATTAAATGGAATTGTTTTAAATGAATAGAAGAAGTTGGATTCTCTAAATTTGTCTTGTAGAATGGCAAAGTATTAATTCTTTCAGTCTATTTTGCTCTGTTAATGTCATTGTTTATTTTTAAGCCAAGTTGATCAGTGGTATAGGATTTGCATGTGGTTCAGAGTCATAGAGCTAAGTGCCTGCCAAAGGCCCTGTATTGCCTAGCTGCATGACGTTGGGCAGTTTGCATTTTGGCCTAAATTCTGAAACAGAGATACAATATCAGACATACAAAGAATTCAGAGGAACAAATGAAATATTTATGTATACTAGTGCATTTAGAAAATTACTCTTCAGAACAAAAAAAAAGACAATTGACTCTATTCATTTCTAGGACTGGTAATAACTATATAGTCTAATTTAGAGGTGATTTACACCATAAATTTAGGTTTTCAGTTAAACTTTTAGTATGTTGCATGTAGTTATTACTTTATATAATACATTTAAAGTAAGTTTTTTACTTTATTTTTGCAAATATTCTCCTACCTCTAATTAGTGAGATTAAAAAAAATTAATATACATCCCAAATGGGTTTTCTTTTTATCTACTAAAATCTAATTTTTTTTAACTTTTATTTAATGAATATAAATTTCCAAAGTACGGCTTATGGATTACAATGGCTTCCCCCCCATAACGTCCCTCCCACCCACAACCCTCCCCTTTCCCACTCCCTCTCCCCTTCCTTTCACATCAAGATTCATTTTCGTAAAATCTAATTTTGATGTTTCATGTTTTAGGAAATGATATTGATGTGACTCCTGCAAGTACTCTGTAGTTCTTTTACATGCTTTTGAAACCTAGGGCTTTTTTTTTTTTTTTTTTTTTTAGTAGTTTATGCTTCTTTCATATTTCTCCATCTTATGTAACACTAGTTTTAAACCATAAGTCTTTATAAACATACAATACTTAAAAGTATTATCTTAAAGTAGAGAGGAACTAGATGGGGCATAATATATGGCTCATTGGTAGGCATTATGTTTTAAATTTGAACAGCAGTCACTTTAGCAATGTAATTTCTGTTAACCTGAGCACACTGGTTACCTAAGGATAATCTTAATAGAATTTCTGCTCTTTCTAGGTGTTTGTTTTTGGAATAATATGTGATGTAGTAAAATTTGGATACAATGAAAGAATTCTTGAATACCCTGTTTAAAGTATTAGATTGTAATTTGATAGATATTTGAGTAAAAATGCAGAGATATGTATATGAAACCACCTCACAGAGTGACTTACATAAGAACAAAGGAAAAACATTTTGTAAATACAAAGATACTGAAAAAAATTAGGGTTACTTAGTGGTAGACAAAATTAAAAATGTTTAAGGAATACTGCTTATGGAATTATAACGTTCCTGCTTGTTCTGAAAACAGTACAGTTTACACTGTTACAAGAATTGAAAATTCTAAGATAAATTTTTTTAATGTATATAATACAAAAATAAAGTGAAACAAATATCATCTTATTTATGCCCTGATAGAACTTTAAGAATAAGGAAGCATTTCATCTAATAAATTGAGATTTTAACAGAGAATATGGTAGCATTCAAACAGAAGTCAAGTATATTGTACTGTCTCAATTCTTGGACATTTCTTTCTTTTTGTCATTTTCGTGCTAAGCTCAAAAGAGAAAAAACTAAGGAACACTAGAGGACAATAAATTAACAAGTGTATTCATTAGTAGGCAGAATAATCACTCATGTAATCAAATTTGCTTCAGTGAGATATTTAGAATGTGAGTGCTAAAATAATCTCTATTTTGAAAGTATTGAAACTTTCTGTACCTTTACAAGGACTTTTATATTTTTGTGTTAAATGTTTTAAAATTTTCAAATTTGTTCTTTATGATATTGTATTGAATTTAATAAAAGAAACTTCATTCATTAAAAACATGGGATTTTTGGAAGTGTTTGTTAAAAGTTGCCTAGACTTTGCCCATTTCTTGATTCTGTTCTCTTTATATTAATATTACATTAACATGAAAATTGTTCTGTAGTAATTATCCATGTATTTGCTAGAACCTCAGAATCTAATGTATTAGTAAATACCTTAAAATTAAAATTAAAGTTGACTGAGTTTTATGGAGAGGAAAAATCTTTAAGAACATTTCTAAATATGATATATTAAACTCTATTTAGTTAAGTAAGGGATCATAATGACAATACTGAATAAACCTGCTGATAATGTGCATGTTGTAGTCACACAACTATGCGTACTATTACAGATGCAAATATATAGCCTACTCCTGCACTATATTTCAGTAGAGTAAGATACAATACAGTTATGCCATTGTTCTGTGTGAAGTTATGCTATCACCACCACTAAATATGATAATATAATTGTAAGATTTTTAAATTGGCAGAAATTTAAATTTGAACAGTAAAATAAAAGTGAAAGTTAAACGACAATACCAATTCAGGGCTAAAGATGAATATGATTCTTTAAATTTTAAAACTAAATCTTATTTTTTACTGTCACTATATAGATAAACATTTGTTTAGATATTAAGCATTTTGCCACTTCAAACATTTCACTAACTTTGAACTGAGATTTAAAAACTATGATTAATTTTTTAAGAACTCAGTGAGTTTGAATTTCAGAAAGTATGAATGACCAAAACCAGTGAAATCCATTTCTTACCTTGGCTGCTGTGATCACCACAGTACAGAATATCAAGTAGTGTGAGGTCTTAATGGGCTTGTAGCTGGGAAGTGTTCTGACTCTGTTACCAGGTTTATGGGAATAGTTGCAGTAGGTGGAGGAGAAAAAGTATTCTAGGGAGGTCTTATGATGTCACACAGGAATTCTGAAGTTCTGATTGGTTAACCATAGTCTTACCACAGCCAAACTTTAGAACTTCATTTATCTTTAGGTATGGAAAGGTCACTAACACTTTGTGCTTCGATTTTTGCTTTTAATTTAAAAAATATGGCAGATAAATAAAATAAGTTTGGGTGGTAGAAAGCTCAAGATTTATTCACTTTCAGGTTTAAAGATAATTGTATTTTGATGGTGATGATATTGAAGACAGAAAATAGTTGTAATAGGAATTTTAATAGAATGAGAGTAACATAGGCTTAGATGCAACAACTTTCATTGAGTTGTTGCTACTATTGCTTTAATACCGTATCTTCATAATGTTAAGTTCAAGTAAGGCAATGGGTTATCATTTTCACGGAATTAAATTTTATACTTTTCCTGTTTTAATTTTTTTCTTAGTCCTGTGTATTTTTGAGAGGGATAGTGTCTGAGAAAACCACTCTAATAACTAGTTATATTTTTTTAAAATCAACCTTATAGTGGAAGTAGGAACTAATAAATGTGTTTAACTCACTTGTGTTTTCTTCACTTTGAGGTTTAATAATGTACTTATCAATAATAATTCTCATGTAAATTGCTATATCACCCCAAGAAAAATAGCGATTTGCAAATACAGGGAATTAAGATTATTTAACAGCTGCATTAGATTACCTTAAAGTCTTACTAAATGTTTAGTACTCAGACACAGTATCAAGGTAATTTTCTAGCAAAAAAAGGAGTATTTGTAGATTCCTAATCAGTTGCATCCGAGTTAATGAAGCTTTATTTGGGTGGATTTACATTTGTTAAAATTTAAATTGTGTAGTTTTTCTTCAAGAATGCACTTCATCTAATGTAGCACTTGCTTTCCTGAAAATTACTGTATGAGAGTACATCAAAAAGTTCATGGAAAATTGAATTAAAAGATATTTTCTTGGGTGCAAAAAAAAAAAAAAACAAACCTTGAAATCCTTGCCTAATTTTTCATAGTAAGCATTTTTCATTAACTCTTTGAAGACTCCCTCGTGTGCATGGATTTAAAAGAACTTTTGCACCAAAAAAAAAAAAAAACAAACCCTACCTTTAATTCCAATTTCCACAAATTTTTTGCAGTACCGTCATAAATAAAATTTTTAGAAGTGGAATAATATTTTTGAGCTTCTTAGAACAGTTTATCTTACCGGAAACTGGGAAAAGAATCCTTTTGAAAAGAGAGTTTGTCGTTCTCCTGTTCTCTGTCTATTTTTTTTGTTTGTTTATATAAGATTTCCTTAAATTGCGCACCTGCAAATTCTGATTCTTAATGCTCTTCTTTACTTTTGGAGGAACTATTTTTAATTTTCTTATTTTTTTTCTTTTTAATATTTACAGTGTAGTGAACTCAGCCCGCTTCACTTTCTTACGGGTAACCGAAATGTGTAGCAGCAGCTGCTGTGTGTCCTTAAATGGAGATGATCTTGGCTTCTTCCAAAGAAAGATAAAATCCTTCTCTTCAGCAAATCGCTCGTTATTTAAAGAATCAGCTAAAACTAACTGAAAAGTATTTTAGCAAAGAACCTTTGTGAACATTGTTACAGGAAGATTTAGAACTTAAAAGTAAGCCCCATATTAAGGAAATTATGTGAATGACACTTAACACTTTGCTCAGTGCTCTACAACCATTTTTTCTTTAGAAATTTACGTAATAAAAATCTTATTATCAGTTACCAATGATGACTGATAATATGGAACTTAAAACCCTATAGGCTTACAGAAATTTAACAAAGATACAGCTGCTAAAAGACAGGCTGAGAAATCAAATCTAAATATGTTTAGTTAGAATTCCTGATATGTTGGCATATTTTAGGAAAAAATTATGATTCGGACATTGTTTTCATAGAATAGAATATGTCAACTAAGCAATGTTGAAGATGGAGAAAAGTGAATTACTAAACACTGTTAATATTTTCAGGAAGTTTGCTTGAAGTTTGTCTGCCAGTTACTCATTCATTTGAATGTGAAGCTTAGGAGATAGATCATTATAGTCTAGGAACTTGTTATTCTAAAAAACAGAATTAGTGATAGTTGGAAAAACAAAGAAACTGCCATTGACAATAAAATGTCTCTATCCTAATCTGTGAATTCAACCAACTGCTGTTCGGAAATACTTAAACCAGTGTTTCTAAAATCTCTCTGGTATCTTACATATTTTTGAGATGCTTAAAAGGCACAACAGGCACATCTGCACATCAGAAGGATACTAACAGCCCTGTATACCCTTTTCCTTTGGACTAGCTGTTGCGGCTGCTGATTATGATTACTCTATTTGGACCATTAGGAAATGATACCTTTTAGTCTTAACTTGATTGCCCAAACAGAAAGTTTTAACAGGAGCATTGGTGTGTTACAATAAAATCAGTAGGGAGTTCTTCAAAAGTTCCCCAAGTAGAGTTGGATAAGTTTTTCTTTCTTTTCTTTTCTTTCTTTTTTTTTTTTTTTTTTAACAGGCAGAGTGGACAGTGAGAGAGAGAGAGAGAGACAGAGAGAAAGGTCTTCCTTTCCATTGGTTCACCCTCCAGTGGCCGCTGCAGCCCGGCCGCTGTGGCCAGCGCACCACGCTGATCTGAAGCCAGGAGCCAGGTGCTTCTCCTGGTCTCCCATGCCGGTGCAGGGCCAAAGGACTTGGGCCATTCTCCACTGCCTTCCCGGGCCACAGCAGAGAGCTGGCCTGGAAGAGGGGCAACCGGGACAGAATCCGGTGCCCCGACCGGGACTAGAACCCGGTGTGCCGGCACCGCAGGCAGAGCATTAGCCTATTGAGCCGTGGCGCCAGCCGAGTTGGATAAGTTTTTAGAGGTGCTCTGTCAGTTTTCATTTGGAGTTACATTATAGTTTGAATCTGTTTTTGGACATAAGGCCTTATACAAATAACTCCCCTAAACAGCTTAATCTGTGAAATTGCATTGTTGTGAGGTTTTAATGAATAGCAATGTGGTGCCTGGAATGATTAGCCTAGATACCTCAACATTGTGTCCATTTAGTGTTATTCCATATTTTCTGTTTTCTTTTATGGTTTTTGGATAGAGATCAAAGGTCTTTGAACTTGAATAGGAAATCAACTGCATCTTTGCTTTTACTACACTGTAAATGAAATTAATGTTTCTTAAGTTTTGACTCTAGACCACGAACTGCAGCAGTGTGAACTGGGGGCATTTGTTAGCACCAGAATCTCAGATAATTTTATATACAGTGGACTCTCTGTGTCCATGGGTTCCCCATCTGTGAATTCAAGAAACTGCAAATTGAAAATATTGAAAAGAAAGCATTTGTACTAAACATGTATAGACTTTTACCTTGTCATTCTTCCACAAACATTACAGTATAAAAACTATTTTCATTGCATTACATATTATAAGTAACCTAGAGATGGTTTCAGGTTTACCAGAAGGTCATGCATGGGTTGTATGCACGTAATAGACTTGAGCATCTATAGATTTTGCTATGTGTAGGGCTTTCTGGACCCAGTCCCCTACAGATAGGATACTGAAAGACAGTAATGTTATGGTGGTTGCAGTAACTTGAAGTATTGTTTACATTGATCACTGTTTTGAAATTACCACAATTACTTATGCCTTTGGGTATTTTTAATCATTAACAAAGAAGCCTATATATTTCTACATCACAGATTTGGGTTTTCCAAAGATAATTTCAATGTACTTGTTTCTTTTTATCTTACTTATTTTTTGAAAAAGTTTTATTTTAGGGGCTGGTGCTGTGGCATAGTAAGTTAAGCTCTGCCTCCAGCACCAGCATCTCATGATTGATGGTTCAAATCAAGGCTGCTTCTCTTCTGATCCAGCTCTCTGCTAATGACCTGGGAAAGCAGTGTAAGATGGCCTAAGTCTTTGGGCCCTGGTGCCCACATGGGAGATCTGGAAGAAGCTCCTGGCTCCTGGCTTCAGATTGGCGAGCTCTGGCCATTGTGACCATTTAGGGAGTGAACCAGTGGATGGAAGATCCTAGCCCCCCTCTCTCTCTCTCTCTCTCTCTCTCTTGTCTGTCTGTAACTCTGCCTCTCAAATAAATAAATATTTGAAAATTTTTTTAGAATTATTTAAAATTTACAAAATTATTGCGGAGATAGTACATACTGTTCCTTTATATATTACTGAATTTCATCTATTTTTTGGTTTAATATATTTGAGAAACAGAGATGCCTTCTGCTGGTTCACACCCCTCCCTTCATAAAATACTCAAAATACTATTTATTAAACTCTTTAACTTAGTATAGAATTAATCTTATGTGTATAAAGTTAATTGAAAATAGATCTTAGTAAAAAATAAGAATGGGAATAGGAGAGGGAGGAGGAAGAGGGGTGGGAGGGCAGGTATGGTGGGAAGAATCACTATATTCCTAAAGTTGTATTTATGAAATGTATGAAGTTTTTATACCCTACATAAAAGGTTTCTGGGTAAAAATAAATAAATAAATAAATGCACAGTGTTAGCATGCACACACACAAAAAACAAACAAAAAAATAGCTGGGCAACAGGTAGTGGGTTCGTCTCAAAGTCCAAAGCTGGGAACTCAGTTCAGGTCTCCCACAAAGGTGACAGGAATTCAAGTACTTGACTCATCACTGCTGCCTCTTAGGATCTGCCTTATCAGGAAGTTGGAATCAGGAGTTAGAGCAGGGAATTGAACCCAGACCCTCCATTGTGGGACAAGGGCATCATAACTGCTGGGCCAAACACAGCCGACATTAGTGTAGTATATATATCTCAGCAGTTGTTGATAAGTGTTCTCATACTTTTTTCAGATTTCCTTAGTTTTGCCTAATGTGCTTTTTATGTTATGGGATCTTATCCAGGAGACCACATAGAGTTCTTCAAAAAGTTCATGGAAGATGGCATTAAAAGATAAGTTTATTTTGGAGCAAGCTTTTTTGAAGT